AAGTTCAGAACAATGTAACTATCATTCTGGCTAGAGAGTTTACACTTCACTTGACCCTTAAACAAATCCTCTGCACTCACGTGCATGCAGTCAAAAACGTGAGCTATCGGGGTGATTGTTTCATAAACTATATACATATCTAACCAATGTATTCTATACTTCAAAATAATAAAATAAAATGCTAAAAAAAATCCGAGCATAGCTTTTGACTCTTTAAAAACTTAACTACCAATAGTTTGTTGACTGAAAGCCTTACTAACATAAAAGAATTAACACATATTTTATGTTATACTATGATATACTGTATTCTTACAACAAAATAACTTAGAGAAAAAATGTTAAGAAAATCGTGAGAAAATAAATTTACAGTACTATATATCCACTAGAAAAAAAAAATCAATGCATAAGTGGATCCTCATAGTTCAAACACATGTTGTTCAAGGATCAACTGTAGTTTGTTTTATTTCCAGAGCAGAGGTCAGAGACAAATTTCAGGCCACCTTTTCTAGTTGTTATTCCCTAAAGTGGGAATTAACACAGAGTACACATGAAGTCATTTATCCTTCCTTGGAGATCTGACAACTCATTTTAGAACCCTCTAGGTACTCACCTCAAGGAAACATGATCCTTTAGAGGGGTGGTCTCAAATATCTAGACATCTATGACAACCAACTCAAGTACACGATTAGTGTTTACCAAAGTATAAGCTACGTAAGATGCAGTATTCTGTTGGGTTATAAACTACATTAGGAATATAAGTATCACTTATTAAAACACGAGTGAGGCAATTCTGTGTTCCTGAGGTAGAAAAGTTCCAGGAGTAAAACTGATCAGTTCGCATAAAACAAGCTGAAATGCCTCTGTAGTGTTATCTGATAAAAGTGTTATTCCCTGTTGGTTACCCCTGTCATTACACACCACATTCCAGTGTTTCCTCGGATTGTCTCAGGTTCTGTTGAGAGGGTTCCAAGAATCTCCAACAGAGGCATTCTGTTAGACTCGGTTAATAGTTCACACTTTATATAACTAAAGGTTGGGATTAATCATGCAAGGGGAACCTTAAATGCCAGAAGAGACTATAGGGCAGAATTTACCTTCCTGTCAACAGCGTCAGGTAACAGATGAAGGACCCAGCAATCAGTTAAATTCAGGGCCATAACTAAAGCCTAAAAAATACACACACAGAGTTCTACTTTCCCTTAATAAGGAAACCATGGGAAACAACTTTTAGAATGAGGTATTCGGGACTTCGCCCAAGGACACAACTCCCAAGGACATCCACTGCCAACGTCAAGAACTGCTGAAAGTTTCTAAGTGTCCTTAGATTAAGATCTTCCATTGGCCAGCAGTTGTGTTGAGGATAGGGGCAACAACCTGGGGTAAACTTGATTAATGGTTTCCACCTCCACACCACTTGACTCCCCTGGGTCTATTGTTTTCCTTCCCCAGCAATCAAAGGGAAACTATGCAAGTTTTCTTGGGTGAGAAGGGATGGCAATCAGTTGTAAAATGACTGATCGATCCCTATGCTCTAATCCACCCTAGGCACAACACTTTGTCTAATGACATGATCATGTAAACAGAAAATGTAAAAACTGATAGAAACTGTGGCAGTGAATCTTTAGGGCCATACTGAAGCAGTGAGCTACCTGAGGTAGATTTGTCACCCAACAGACATCTTTTAACTATTTCAACTAAAACATGTGGCAAGAAATTGAACACAGAAGCAGAAGAGAATCTAATTATTTTCTATTAAGCTACATGTTAAAGAAATTTTCAAAAATACAAAAAAGCCACTTTTCTATTGTTTACAGAAAATATTCGTATTAACATGTAAGAATTTATTGTTACTTTTAAATGAAATAATTTTTTAAATTTCCTATATTTAGTTTCTAAAGCAGTGAATACTGATGTAAACTACATAAACAAATGCTCTTTGGGGTCCTTAAGAGTTTTTAATGTATATACTTCTTTTTGAGAACATATTTCCACATGTTCTGCAGTCTGCAACTGCAGAAAAACCATGTCCATGTAATTCTTATGGAGGAAATGTTGTAGAAACATTGCAAAAATCAGACCAGGGAGAAACCAAGCACCACTCCACTCCGAGAGAGATGGAGAACTCAGGTTTATTACGCCAGCGGTCCCAGAAGAGCTAGCACTCTGAAGATCTGGGCCTCGAGCTCAGATGCAACCTTGCTTTTTTTTATAGGCTTAGTGGCATGGGCCTATTGGTTAATTTGTCCTCAGGAAGTCAGAGTACCGGACTTGCTATGGGTTGCAAGCAGTTACAAAGAGTTACAAAGCATTAGAGTTGCTATGGGTTACAGGCAGTTACATTTGTTATTTAGTCAGAACAAGCAAAAGGGAGGATGAGTCTTTAGTTAATTTCAAGGTCACCCTGCCTTAGGGCCTATGCAGCAAGCCTATCTACAGAAGCAGAACAAAGAGCTGGATTATAAGGTTAGCCTTTTGAGTAAAAATTCCGCTTCAGGAGAACCGGGAAGCATGCACCTGACCTCTAAAGACTGCCCATGCTAATTTTTTCCTGTTGGCTTTATACTGTATCCTTTACTGGCATAAACTTTAGCCTAGAGAATACAAAAAAAGATAAAAAGGAACTAAACCACAAGTCGGGCCTCTGAAAAGATAAAAAAAAATTGATAAACCTTTAGCTAACCTGACCAAGAAAGACTCAAATAACTAAAATCTGTAATGAAATAGGGACATTACTACCAAGCTTACATCAAAAAAAGGAGAATACTATGAACTGTATGCCAATACACTAAAACTTTTGGATGAAAAGGACAAACCTCCTGTGATGTTGTAATTTACAAAAATATATATACAGCAGGTCCTCAAACAACATTGTTTCACTATGACATAGATGCCTTAGAAACTTAAATCTTGTTTTTACCAATTAACCTGTGATAAAATTGGTTTCATCATTACAGTCATTTCACCTAAAGTCGCAGAACCTACTGACCACATTAGGTTTGGACTTACCATATTTGGTCTTCACCCGTTTCTGGAACAGGACTCCTAAAACCTTTGGATTTTTAATGAGTAATAAAGGTGTCTTTTCATTTAATCAATCACGACAATATAATAAAGCCTCCATAAAAACCCAAAAGGACAGGGTTCAGAGCTTCAGGTCTGGTGAACATATGGCGATCTGGGGAGAGTTGGCATGGCAGAAGAGGGCATAGAAGACTTTTCCCACATACCTCACTCTATGCATCTCTTCCATCTGGCTGTTGATTCATATCCCTTGCAATAAACCAGTAATCTACTAAGTAAAATGTTTCTGAGTTCTATGAGCTACTCTAGCAAATTAATCAAACCCAAGGAGGAGGTCTTGAAAACCTCTGATCTATAGGTAGTTGGCCAGAAGTACAGGTAACAATCTGGACTTGCAACTAGCACCTGAAGTCCAAGCAGAGGGTTGTGGGAACCTCTAATCTGGAGCCGGAGGGTCAGAAGCACAGGTTAACGACATGCGCTTGCCACTGGCATCTGCAGTGGGGAGGAGGGCAGTCTTGTGGGACTGAGCCTTCAACCTATGAAATCTGTCCCTAGAGAACCTGTTATTGGTGTGGGCATAAACCTCCTCCCGACACACACACTGGAATTGTGTGCAGAACCCAGAAAGAAAGAAAGTGACCAAAACTGACTCAAGAAGATATAGGAAATCTAAATAGGCCTATAAAGAGATTGTACTAGTAATAGAAACTACCCAAAAAGAAATGGATAGACCCAGATGGCATTCTGATAAATCACAGCAAAAATTAAAAATTTTTAACCAATTCTACAAACTCTTCTAAAATATAAAAGAGGGACTACCTCCCAATTCAATTCTGTAAGGCCAATATTACTGTAATACCAAAATCAAAAAAGAAATCACAAGAAAACTACAGACCAATCTGTAATGAATATAGATTGGAAAACCTCAACAAAATATTAGCAAACCAAATACAGCAGCATATAAAAATAATTACATTCCATGACCAATTGGGACTTATCTCAGAAATGCAAGATTGGTTCAACTTAAAAATAAAAAATCAACGTTATATAACGTATCAATAGAACAAAGGATAAAAATTACACAATCATCTCAGCAGATGAAGTCAACATCTAACGACTGAAATTAAATGCATCTTAAGATCTAATACCCTTTCATGATAAAAAACACTCAAACTAGATAGAAACTTCCTCAACGGATAAAAATTGTCTACAAAAAAAAAAAAAAAAAACCCAAGCTTACATCAGACTTAATAGTGAAAGACTGAATGCTTTCCCTCTAAGATCAGGAATAAGACAAGGATGTCTACTCTTGCCACTTCTGTTCACACTGTACTAGAGGTTCTAGCCATGGAAGTAAGGCAAACAATAAAGAAAAAAAAAAAAGAAAACAAAACAAAAAAGAAATAAAAGACATCCAGACTGGAAATGAATAAGTAAAACTATCTCTACTTGCAGGTGACATCATCTTGTATATAAGAAAACTTAGAAATCCACTAAAACACTAACAGAACTAGTTTGACTAATACAAGCCCAATATACAAAAAATATATTCCTAGAAAACATTTATTCTCGAAAAAATTCTATTTACAGTATCAAAAAGAATGAAAACATTGGAATAAATCTAACAAAAGTGAAAATTTTATACTCAATGTTATAAAATGTTGCTAAAAGAAATTGAAGACCTAAATAACTGACCAAAGGAAAAAAAAAATCCACATTCCTGGATTAGAAGGTTTAATACTGTTAAAGTGGCAATACTCGCCAAATTGATTTATAGATTCAGTGCAACACTCCCAGATTTTTTGCAGAAATTGAGAACCTGATCCTAAAATTAATCATGAAAAAGTAAAGTTGGAGGATTCATACTCCTCAATTTCAAAACTGACTAATATTGTTAAAGAAAACAAATAGGCCAAAGGTGGGGTCACTTGCCTCCAAGACAGCAAACCAGGACTTAATTGCAGTTTCAGTCCCTCTGGCAACTGGAATTTAAGATGGAATTTCCTGAACATTAGCAAAATAATCCACCTGGTAAGGAGCACTGTCCCGCTTCCCCCAACCCCAAAGTCAGGCACCTTGACTGAAACAACTGTTTTCTTTCTTTGCCCCACTCAGTTTCCTATAAAATTCTTCCATTTTGCATAATTTTTTAAGTTTAATTTTTCAATTATAGTTGATATACAATATTATATTAATTTTGCACAACTTCTTGGAGCACCTTTCTATTTACTAGATAGGAGGTTACCCCAATTCATGAATAGTTCATGTAGTCATCCTTATATTTCCTGTTTCGATTCCAAATGCATAGAAAGAAATGCAAAATTGCCATTCTTCAGAGCATTTTCTCAGTCCGTTGAGATCCTGCTTCAAGGTATGTCTTCGGTTTGGTTCAAATAAACTCTAATAAACTTATAAAATTTTTCTACAGGTTTGAACGTTCTTACATCAACAGATATAAACCTAGAGATACTAGGGCCACTCATTTAGAAGATGTGCCTGAGAATAAAGTTATTAAGGGTGTGGTTCTGGGCAAAGATATGCTAACGGCCAACTTCTGCTTCTGTAATCTGCTTGCTTGTTTGATAATTAACTAGGGTGTGGTTAATCTGATTGCTTGTTTGATGAATAACTAGGGTGTGGTTAATCTGCTTGCTTCTTTGATGTTAACTAGGGTGTGGCTAGGCTTTTATAAGCTGCCTCTTTTGGGAGCTCGAGGCTGATCTCCTGGAACTCTGCGTGGTAGAGAGCGGTAGCGAGTTAGTCGCCGGCCGGCTCCAGCTAATACCGGCTCATAATTCATCTCAATTGGCTCCGTGGGTCTTAGAATTGATCGCGCCACAACAAAGTCAATCGATGCTGAAGATAGCAGAGCTCAAAGACAGTGTCTCAAATCTTCAAAACTTTTTTTCAGATTCAGATGCTGGATCTAGCCAAACCTGAGGGTCAACCTACATGAACTTTTAAGTTATGAAAAGCAATAAATTTTCTTTTCAGACTTAAAAAAACAGTAATCTGCTTATGATTTTTACTTCCCAAAACTTAACTGGACTATATATCAGTTTTCCATTTTAACCACAAGTTAAAAGTTTATTTACAAATGAAGTCTTGTAATTTAATACATCTCAAGAGAATCTCGGTGACTGTCATTAAATCTCTGCAATTATTATAACTATGAGCAAATGTCTCACTTGAGACATTTACTTCAACAGGCCCACCTCCAACATTGCTCTTCAATTTATGAGCACATTTAGGGTATTAAAGAGTACACCTATTACATAGCTGCCTCCCAACAAAGCATTTAGAATTCAAGGTCAACGAGATTACTTCTTTAAGAAAAGATTTATCATACAACGAAATAAATTTTAACTTGCATTTCTATAGAGAGGATTGGTAAATTGCTCTTTATCTTATATTAAATGCTTTCCATGTCTATTTTGCACAGAATATGCTTCCAGCGGGGATTTAAAAGGGGGTGTAGGAGGTCGGGCTAGACAAAAATAAATTCTTGAAATTTATAAATACCTTCGAAACAGTAAGTTAGATCAATTCTCTAAATATTTATGTTCCTATTGTGCCCAAGACTTTGATAATATAAATGGGAAGAGAGCTTCCAGCACATCACAGAGATAATATGGAAAAGCAAAGCTTTGGGGCAAATTTGCCTTGGGTGGAGAATTTAATGGAGGTATTCTTCATTTCAAATAAGCCTGCAGGTAAAAACTAGAGTTGTGTCTGGTACTTCCTTATAAAAACAGAACCTACAACAGGATCTACAGTGAAAAGTTTAATCAACACAAAGCTGATAATTGATTCAGAGGTTAACTGAATTTTGTATTAAGACAGTGTTGTCTTAGGCCATAAAATATATTTCCTCTAACATAACAGCTAAAATTTATTGAGCACTTACCGTGTGCCAGGAGCTGTTACAAATATGCTACAACAATTCTATGAGGTAGGTACTACTGTTACCTCACTTTCCAGATGAGATAACTGAGGCAGACAGGTTAAATATTTAACCAAGTTTGTATAGATAGTAAGGGGTAGCCAAGATCTGAAGCTCAGAAGTCTGACTGCAGGGACCATGATCTTAATCATTACACAGGGCAGAAACCCTGGAGATGATCACTTTGGCTTTATAGGTTGGTATATCACAGACTGGTTCTCTCAGAGTTGTGTTGTGCTGCCTTTCCCCAACACCATGTGCCACTAATAATAAAATAAATACAATCAAATAAGAAACAAAGCATGTAGAAAATAACCTTAAGTAGACCTCAGTCTTAGTAACTTGGACCTCAGTCACCTCACCATAACCTCCTCTTCCGTATCTTGTAAAGATGAAAAATTGAATACTCCATGCTAAACCAACCACATTATTTCTCCTCAAGTTCTGTCCTACAGTTTAATTTTTAATCAATGGATTCATTTAGTTAAATTTTTTTCCATAAGAGACAAATTAGAGTAGGCTACCTTAGAGGTGACATACTTACCTTTAAATAAGATGTTATTTTTTCCTTACTGTATATGTTCCCATTTACCTCCAAACACATCAGTGTCCCTCCACAATGTTTACTTGATCCTTGGGATGTCAAGAAACATTACATAATTATTAATTATTTAATATAAAATGCATGTCACTTCTATTTATATTAAAAGTATAATAAAAGTTATAATAAAAGTACATGCTAATCCGTTCGCTTGATATGACACTGCTGTGCAAAACTGTGTTACTTAAGGCTGTACCCAAAAGCATACCAAGTTGACTGAATTCTTAAGCGTGCAAAGTAACAGAAATAGAATCTAAGTCTGACCTAAAATACCATTTTCTTTCAAATTAGAATCCCAATTTATGAGCCCTCCTCCAGGTCCAGTATTGTCCTTTCATTCCCAAACAAAAATACTTTACCTTGGCAATTTTCTTTATTAGATGAATGAGAGAATCCCACTGTACAGGGGGGAAGAAGTAACCAACACCTTAATATTCGTTCATGTCAACACTAAATAAAACTTAAATGATTTTTACAGCCAACATGTTAAACAGAAAATCCCCAAACAAGGTCTGTAACTCGCCTATTAAAATACACCCCAACGTCATACAACATCGCCTGCTATTCTCTTTTATTTTGAAGACAGGCTCTCAAAGTATTACAAATAAATTGTTTTCACTGAAATGATTCCCCGAAAGCTAGCTGCTGAACTCAGGACCCTAAGGACATGTGCATAGGGAATCCGCGTCCCTCAAGAACATCTAAAACCAGTAGGCATTTGCGCATTTAAAAATGCCTCTAGGAACGAACTATTGCTAAGGACCAGAAAACATCCGGCACAGGCGCGTTCGCGGGACGCTTGGAGATGCAAGCCGGGCATTTCTGTTTTGCCAGGAACACCATAATGGGGGTGGGGAGGAAGGGAACTCGATAAATAGTAAATGCAAAACAAAGATTTTTTTTTTTTTCCACGCCAGCGACAGGAAATAATTAAAAACAGAAGCTACTCCTAACTCCCACCTATCTAACCAACCGCCCTGTAGCTGCACAAAATGCGTACTCGCTGACGCCACCCGCGACCTCCACTGTGAGGGGAAGCATTTTAAGGAAAACACCCGGCGAGGCGGCGCCTTCGGGCTCCAGCTGCACGTCCGTGGATGGCCAGAGCCGGTCCCTGCACCGCGAGCAGGGCAGCGGGCGAGACAGGCCGGCCGTGCTC